GAAAGAGTTCATTTTGGACATACTGATTTGAGATAACGTTTAGATATCCAGCTGGAGATGTTGAATAAGCAGTTGGATATGCAGGTCTGGAGTTTGGGAGAGAGGTCTGGGCTAAAGATGTTAATTGGAGAGTCTGTGGCCTGTAGATGATATATAAAGTCTTACACCTGGGTCAGATCAGCAGGAGAATGAGTATAGGTAGAGAGAAGGGGAGGGCTGAGGACTTAGTCTTGTGGCACTAGTTTAAGAGGTTGGGAGGAGAAGCAAAGCATCCTGAAAAGGAACCCATGAGGTTAAGGAAAACTACGAGAGTAAGATGTCCTAGGAACCAATCAAAGAAGGCCTGTGTCCAAAGGAGGGAAGGTTCAGTGTCCGTTGCTGTGGGTGGAGTCGTGAGGATTGAGAATTGACTGAGAAATGACAGTGTGTCTAAATGGGTATATGTAAGTGTATCTAACTGGATCCACTGGCAGTCACTGGTGACCTCCATGAGAGCAGCTTCCATGGAGTGGTGGCTGAAAGCCTAATAAAAGAGAGTTTAAGAGAAAGTCAGAGGGAAGGGAATTGAAATACATGATACAGACAATTCTTGAGGAGTTTGCCCCATTGAAGCACAAAAAAATGGAATGGTAGCTGGTGGGAGAAGTGAAGTGAAGAGAAGGATCTTTTCAGATGAGAGAGATAAAAGCATGTTTGTTTCTAGGACTGAACCGTTAGAAAACAAAAAATTAACGATGTAGGAGAAATGGAAGAAGCTTGCTGGAGCGCTGTTCTTGAGTAGGCCCTGGAGCAGATCTGCACACGTGGTAGGGTGGGCTTTAGGAAGGAACAGGGCTGGCTCACCTGGTAACAGGTGGAAGGCACAGTGTGCCGGGAAGCGGGCAGCCATGGTAGTGGCCATCCGTGGAAAGTCTCTTCTCAGGGCTGCAGTTTACTCAGTGAAGTCGTTAGCTGAGAGCGAGGATGGGGAAGAGATTTCTGGTGACTTGAGGTTGGAGAGGGCGAGGGGAGGAGTGTGAATAAATGGCCTAGGGAAGTGTACTGTAATGTCTGTTTGTAGAATGTTGTGTAATCCTTGGCCCGAGGTAGCTTTACTCTGTGCATATTAAATTTGCAACATTAGTGATTAAACTTTGAAACAAAGCTGAGCTTTTTGATAAAATCTGTTCTAAGCAGCCCTTGAACTACTTACCTTTATCTTGTATCTTTTATTTTGCAGAAAAACTATGGGCAAGCTGATGAAGATTGTAGGCGTGGTATGTTTAAAAGCAGGATTCTTTTCTGCTGTGAAGATTTTGAATTATTTAATTGAGCAGTGTTTAAGATTTGTTTTTTCATATGCTAATTTCAAAAGTGATTATAATATTTAAAAACCCCAGCTCACGGTGGTGCTGAGTGACTAATTTGGATGGCGACTTTCCTGCTATGATGGGTGCACACATGAACATTGTTCCTAATCACAAGTGTTGGCATTGCTGTCACTCCCTTGGGAACATTGATAATGCCCTTTTAAAGTTTGTGTGAGTATTTTCAGTCAATAAAGAGCCATATTTTAAGAACTGTAGTACATAACACACATTGATTAAAACGTTAAGCTTGGATAACTTGAAAAGCTGGGCCTCTGCCTCCTAAAATGTTCTTTTCCCCTTCATTAGAAGATTTCCCTTAGAGAGCAGAGACTGACTAGAATGCTCTTTAGGGCTTTTTCCTGTTTTCTTTTGGGCAGGAAATTGATTAATAAGATTCGTGCTCTTTGGGTACTCATAGAATAGGAATCCTTTTCTTGGAGATTGCTGCCAGTTCACTAGAATGAATCTAGAAGTGCGTGGGAGGAGGGTTCAGGGTACATTCTCAGACACTCTTGGTGGGAGTTTGGCACAGCTCAGTGATTCGGATAATACGATGTTTCAGTTATCCAGATTGGGGTTGGGGGGCTGAGGTGTCTAACATAAGTTAAAGTATTTTTTCCTATTTGCTCCTTTGTGTCAAAACTTTAAAAAGTATTAGCTCTTTTTGTTGTTAACCTTACAAAACCATCTTATCTACTCCTGGGGCATACTGGACATAATTTAACCATTCATTAAAGATTCAGTGACCTCTTTGTAAACCTTGCTTCATAGAATTGTATACTTTGGGAGTTAATTGGCATGAGAGATATCTAGTACCATCTTCCGTTAAAAAATCTTTACTGTCTGTGGACATTTAAGAGTTACCAACAAGCCAGATAATAAGTCAGATAATATAGAGGAATATGAAGAAGGGACCCACTTGCCCTTCCCCCACCTGAAGGAGCCACGGTAGCAGTTTGCTGCATCCTCTTCACCTTTCTCGGTAGTGATAAGCGCAAATGCTTATGATACATAGGTAGGGTTTTCCTTTAAAAATTAAAAAAGAATTATGTGATCATCACAAAGTTTCTTGCTCTCTTCTGCAACAGTAGATCATGGACATCTTACTATGTTAATAATACATCAGCTCCAATTC